CCTCCCCAGCTTTCCTGGAGCCCCTTCAGGCACTGGAAGGTGCTCTAAGGTCTCCCTGGAGCCTTCTCTTCTCCAGACTGAACACCCCAACTCTCCCAGCCTGGCTCCAGAGCAGAGCTGCTCCAGCCTTGGATCATCTTCATGGCCTCCCCTGGACTCTCCAGGAGCTCCATGTCCTTCTGATGTTGGGATGCCCCAGAACTGGACACAGTGCTGCAGGTGGGGTCTCACCAGAGCTGAGTAAAGGGGGAGAATCCCCTCCCACCAGCCTGGGACACTGTACATCAGAAGTGGAGTTGTCTCCCTCTTCTCTCTTAAAGCAAAGCTGTCCTCTGCCATGGCTGTCCTCAGGAGCTCATGACTGGAAAACTGCACTCCCCAAGAAGACAAGGAGAGTGAATGTGAAAATCTCTTCACTTCTGAGAGCAGCTGAGATGAATAATAGTTAATCAGTTATATTGCCATCTGTTCATATTTTCAAGGAATGCCAAGCAATTAGCCACCCATCTGATGTTTACAGAAGGCAAAGAAGCTGTGCCAGTTTATGCTGGTAAAGGAATTTGGCCCCAAATAGCCTAATTTTTTATCTCACTAAGTGAGAAGAGATTCCTATCACAGTATTAACACCAACTAAGTTACTCCTCTGTGCCCCCATCAAGACTACAGGTGTATAGTAAAAAGGGATAGAAGGAAATTCAAATATGTAACCTGCAGCAGTATGGGTGCTGACCAACAGCACCTGGCACAAGGAGAGGTCTTGCTACTTCAGGTGTCACCATCCTGGCTAAATGCACCAATAGGAGAGGTTGTGGGAAAGGGCAGTAATCATGGAATGGTTTGAGTTAGAAGGGACCCCAAAGATCACCTAGATCCAACCCCCTGCACGGTCAGGGACACCTCCCACCAGCCCAGGTTGTCCAAGCCCCATCCAACCTGCCCTTCAACACTGCCAGGGATGGGGCAGCCACAGCTTCCCTGGGCAACCTGGGCCAGGGTCTCACCACCCTCATTGTCAAGAACCTTCTCTTCTCCAGGCTGAACACCCCAACTCTCTCAGCCTGTCCCCAGAGCAGAGCTGCTCCAGTCCTCTGATCATCTCTGTGGTCTCCTCTGGACTCTTTCCAGGAGCTCCATCTCCTTCTTGTGTTGGGGGCTCCAGACCTGGACACAGCACTCCAGGTGTGGTCTCAGCAGAGCAGAGCAGAGGGGACAATCCCCTCCCTGGCCCTGCTGCCCACGCTGCTCTTGCTGCAGCCCAGGACAGGGTTGGTTTCTGGGCTCCAGCGCACGGTGCCGGCTTGTGTTGAGCTTCTTATCACCCCCAGGTCCTTCTCCTCAGGGCTGCTCTCAATCCATTCTCCCCCCCGCCAGTTTGTATCTTTTCATGCCTCTCTCCCCTGCTGCTGAGGCAAACAGGTGGGGATGTGACAGGGTCAGTACTGCAGAGCAAGCTAACTATGGGCAGAACATCTCAGTTAGGTACTTCAGTGGAAACATTTTTCTACCCATGAAGCTCTGACATGGATTTACCTCCTTCGTGCTGGCAGAAATCCAGGGTCAGCATCCCACATGAAGGCTGGAGATTTTCTTGTAATCTCTGCTGGATTGCTGGCCTGTTGCAGTGTTTACATCAGATTTGTTGCGTGTTGTGCCTCTCCTGATGACACAGCTCCCTAACACAGATTGGGCATGTGGGTTTACTGTTTAGTAACTGTGTTTTCATGTTACAGACTGACTGGGCTGTTGAAAGAGAAGGGAGGGGGGTGTTGCTGCCATAGCTGTGTCCCCCAAAAAACATGGGGGAGGGTAGGGGAAGGAAGGAGCATGTTGTAGGAAGGATGGCAGAGACAGCTGGCAGAGCAGTGGCACTGCTCCCTGAGTCCTGCAGGCTCCTTTCAGCTTCCTTCTCACCCTCACCACCGTGCTGCTCCTTTGCTTCAGCAGCACAAACCCCCACTGCGTCATTAGCCTGGCTGGAGAAGGCAAAAAAAGCCTTGGAAGCAGAGCCAAGGCCACTGTCAGAGTAAACTGAGGAGTGTAATCATGTGCTGACACCAGGGACAGTTTCAACATGTCCAATCTTAGCTGGAGAAGCTCAGGGTAATCTCCCAGTCTTGGCTTGCTCTATGCTGAGTTGGTTGTTCCCACGTTTATTTCCTCTGCTGGTCCTGCAGATCAGACAGATAAACCATTTCAAGCTGGCTCCCAAAACCCAGACAAAGAGACTATGTTTAGGGAGGAGACACTGTTTTTTATTGCAGGTTTGTACAAAGCTGGGTGCCTTCCCACAAATCAAGCACACCCAACATGATTTTCCATGACAGATTTATACACAAAACTGTGAAGTTAGGAAGCTTCCAAGTCCATCCTCCTTATAGTGATTGGTTAGTGATTTACATAGAGTTCTCATATGGTTGCATCACTATTTCTGCTCTCCTGCACATTCAGGGAAGGGTCTTCACCTGGGCAGGGGTCTTTTTGACCTGAGGGTGTGATTTTTAGTATTATAGTGACATTACAATCAGCTGCGTTCACCTAAAGGACACAATATCACAAGTTCTACAGCTCCAACTGCCCCAGACTGGTTTAGCTATCAATCTTCTTGGTTTTGGTTCTTCTTTATCACCTCCTGCATTCCTGAGGCCCAATTATCCATACAGACCTCAGGTCTTCTCTGCCAAATTAGTGTTTTACATGAGACACCCTTTAAACCTCCTGATGACTGGACTTCTTCAAGGCCTGGCTCCTGCAGGGTGTCCTTGCCCAGTGCTGGCTGTGGCACTAATTGTGGGCCCCTCTGACTGCAGCTTGAACTCCTGTGTGTGTGTGTGTGTGTGTGTGTATGCACACACAGAGCACATCTTGCACAAAATAACCACAACATTCTACATTACTTAGTTATTTTCCCACAAAATGGCCAGGCAGGATGTATGGATCCATTTAATGCAGCCCTTGCTCAGGAAAAGCTAAAATTCCTACGTGCTTTAGAGCTGCAAGGCAGCCAGAAGAGAGTCTAATGAAGAGAGAATTTATTCAGCAGCACCATAAGAAGGCAACCACAGCTGGCTTCACCAGGAAGTCCATGCCTGCCTGGACAGCCCAGGGGAGACCTTCCTGGGAACCCTGTTCAGCTTCTTTGCCATGTACACAAGAAACATTTCCATACATAGACACTGAGCACATGTTTCTTGTCCCCCTGAGGTTTTAGGCTTTGTTTATTTCTTTACCACTGAAGGTCTCCATTTGAACAACGCTCTTAGGCCATGGCTTCAGTTGTCATGGCAAGAGAAAATTAAGAAAATGGCCACTTTGGTCAACATTTTCAATAGCTCTGCACTGAAATGTGATGGTAACAGGCAGCAGTGGCACTAAAATGATGCTGTGTTCTCATGAACTGTTCACTGCCCTTCATCACTGCCACCCTCTTCCTTTCTTCTGGGTGGAGATTTCCAGAACAATGTTTAAAATCTATCAGGAACAATCTTGGGTTTAATTCTATACTCTCTGCTGATTCACCTGCCTCAGGAGGGGTAGTGCAGTAGTTCATTAGCACAGCAGACTAATGTGCTTCGTGCCAGTACCTCTTGTAAACCCCCTCTCCTTGTGGGGCCAGGGCTGTGTCCTTTTGGGGTGGGGGTGACCTGGTGCCTGCCAGCCCTCCCCTACCACACCATTCCCTCTTCTCCCAAGTGAATAATGACAGGGCCAGAGGAAACAGGCCTGAAGGTGCAGCTGGGGAGGTTTAGATCGAGATATGAGGAAGAATTTCTATACTGAAAGGGTCCTGGAAGAGGCTGCCCAGGGAGGTGG